AAAAATAATGTTTAAAAATTTTTGACTCAATGACTCAGAACCATTTTTCCAAGTCATGTTTTAAGTTCCTATTAATGATGGGCCTTCCCTACCTGCTCTGGCTGCTGCCACCATCCTCAGAGGCAGCAGCCCTGGCTTTCCTTTCAGCTGCTGCCTCCACCCACTCACCTGCCATGTCGATGAAAGGCTGGCGCATGTGCAGAGTCAAGAGCCAGCTCCAGGAAGGGAGATCAGTCCACTGTCTCTGTGCATGTGCCTGACTGGCTTCCCCTCTAGACTCACTTTCTCTGCACATGCACTGGCTGATCAGCTGGGAGGTGCATGCACAGTCTGAGCCTTTGGATCTGAGTCTTGAGTCCCAAGGCTTAAATCCCGGGTTGTTTCCCCTGGGGGCAGGGCAAATCCTCAAGGCTTGGGACTTGGATTTGCCAACATCCCTGGCAATATGCCCCCGTACACATGCTGAATTAGGGGGCAGATGGGTGAGAGGTTGGGACATACTGTACTCTTTGGCAAAAATGTGTTAAATTCTAGCCTGTAGCTGCAATCCTATGATATCTCTTTGGGGGGAAGTCCCATTGAATGCAATGATGCTTCCTCATTGAGGATTGTACTGTAAAAAGTTCTTGGTCCAAGCTCAGGAAGGGAATTCTTGATTACCCTTGTTCTGGAATATTATTATACTGAGCCAGAAGCATTTTTGTGAGCAAATGTCCTTAGACGTATGATAAAACCACAAATAAAATCTGCAAAAATACTGGCCGGGTGCACCGAATGCTTGGAAAGCAACAGAAGCATATTGTTGTACAGATTTATATGGGAAGGAGGTAACAAGCCTTGAGTCCATGGACGCTCACAGCCAGTGCCTACCGATGGGATGATTCTCAGCGACCTAAGCAGACTCCACTCCACAAAATCTGCATGTGAAATGAGAAGGTGAACTTTTTGGCAGGCCTGAAAGCCCAGCACAGCTCAGGAAACGGCAGGTGGGAGGAGTACGCTGACAAATGCAGCTTAAAAGCAAGGAACTATTGTAGCCTTGATCAGTATAATGCCCCCCTTTTTTAATTAATACCATCTGTAGAGCACAGCTAACTGATTAGGCTCTGGGGCATCTGACGGAAGAGATCTAGCATGCGCCCCCCCCTTTTATGAGCTTTAAACGCTCTTTGTCTAATTCTACCCCAGGTATCAGAAAGTGGGGAGAAATGGGCACCAGATCAAAATGAGAAAGACCGCCAACGTTTGGAGCCAACCTTCAATCAGTATTGAATGACTGTCTGTTGAGTATACCATAGAGCACTGAAGGATAGCCGGAATGCTTTGTGAGATCACCTGTTTTTACCTCTTGCCAATGTTGAACTAATGTCCTCTGCCTTGTCTTGTTTCATCAAAGCATAATCTCTCTGGATTGGGAGTCTGTCCTCCCTGCTTGTAATTTGTTCCTGGGTTTTGCTGAAGCTTTGCCACAGACCTTCAGGAAGAGCGCTTGTGTCCTTGCGGTGCCCCAAAGGGCAACCAGGAAGGGCCTTGTCAAAGCCAGCGACCCGGTCTGCTTGCGGGCCCGCCTGCTTTCCTTCCTTCTTCCCTTGCTTCCTTCCCAGAAACAAAAGTTTACACCTTACTTTCCTTTCATCACTGGAACTCCTGCAACCACATGGAGGGCTGCATGAGGACAGTTATGTCTAGACTCTGTATTCTCCCACATAACCATGCTGCTTTTTGCAGTATTATTTTGTACTCAAAGATCAGTTTTAAATTGCCAAACACAATTTGTGAAGTGAGAACTAACGAATACTTTAACGCCCTGAATTGGACACTTTTGTATTCCACGCTTTCTTCCTGCATGTCTGTGGAACTCCCTTCCACAGCACAGGCTAAGTTGTTCCCTTGTCTCCCTTTTTCTCCTCAGGCAAGCTTTTGCTAATTAGACAAGGTTATGATAAAAGGAGCTTTTAATGGAGGCTGTTTTGGGGTGGGGCGGGGCGAAGGTTTAAAATGTTTTACATTGTTTTCAGCTCCTAGTCTTTTCATATTATTATATGTTTGCATTTTTATTTTATAGCATTCTTTTTGTAAGCTATTTTGGATCCCAACATTAGAAGAAAGGTGGGACAAGAGTGAAAGTAAGTAAGTAAAAACAAATGTTTGAAGGCTTTATTATGATAGTTACTCTCAAGTAAATGGGTGCATGGGACACAATTTTATACATTCAGAAGCTAAAGCTGATCTTTTGTGTTACTGCTATGTTTGTCCAAAGGCAAAGCTGTCATTAACAGAGCTTGTTGATGGCTTATAGTCACTTCCAGTTTATGAATCAGTGAGCTGCAAAAGGTTCTATCTTGCAAATTCAAGGCCATGGCTTCATTTATTGAGTCAACCCATCTCATATGTAGTCTTACTCTTTTCCTGCTGCCTTCAGCTTTTCCCAGCATGATTGTCTTTTCCTGAGATTCTTGTCTTCCTATGATGTTTCTAAAGTAGGATAGCCGCAGCTTAGTCATGGTATCTGCAAAGCTCTCCTTCAATACCACATTTCAAATGAATTTTTTTGCCCTTTGGCCTCCCTCACTGTCCAGCTTTCACATCCAAATACTGTACAGTAATAATCAGAAATATCACAATATAGATGTTCTTCACCTTAGTCTCCAGTGATGCCTCCTTATACTTAAGGATCTTTTCTAGTTCCTTCACAGCAATCCTTCTTAGATATAACCCACTGCTGTCCACTGCTAGCTGTTTTGTTTATATACATGAGAGTGCCCCAGTTAAGGAAGCGGAGTGCAAGTCATTAGGCACAGAGTCCTTTTGCTTGCTTGTTTCTCTCTTTTGTATTGCACTTCCTAGACTTAAAGGAAAGGGGTGTTCAGACCCAGAATTAGGATTCTTCCCATCTGTTGTAAAAATTCCAGACCTTCCCACAGAAGCCAGTAGAGGCTCCACTTCACAAGCACTGGCCAGCATTCCCAGACATGTAACTTCCATTTCTAGATACTTCTTCTGCACCATCCATGAAGGGAGTGCACTAAGAGCCTGGGAAACTGGGTTTCCTCCATGAAAGCTTGTTATTTGTTTAATCTTTCAGTGGTCCAATAAAAGGTGTCACCGAAGCTTGCCTTTGTCCCATCTGTTGGATAAGCAGGAGTTCCATTCATCTAAGGAAAAGGAAGGAGGGAAGGTGCTGGGTGGCAGCTGCTGGTTCAATGTGATATTGCAGTGAGTCCCTCCCTCCGTTTTTCATAGAGGCTGGCTACTGAGAGAGGCACAGATCAATTTGGAAAGTGATGGACCCTCTCTGATGGGAGGATTTTAAAGAGAGGCAAATTAATGGGGCGTGTGTGTGAAATGCCTTTGTGCCACTACAGCCACCTGGCCTTCCAGTTCTTTTTAACTGGGAGTGGGTGGGTGGGAGGCTGAAGTGACTAGCCTAAGATAAGAGCTATAAGAGCCCTCTGAGAGTGGAATGGATTGATTTGCAAAGTGATGGATTTTCCTTCATTACCAGTTTCTTAAGGAAAAGTGAATGACCGTATGTTAAGGGAACTCTAGCTATGGATTTCCTGCAATAACCGTGGAGTTTGACTGGGCAGTCCTTGGGACATTTACAATATGATTCTTAAATTTGCCTCTCTTCAGATGCTGGGTCATATCTTGTTGAATTCAGACTCATCTTTTCCATTCCTTGATTCTTAGGGAGTTCCAGAGCTAAATGTGAGCGCTTCTGCACGTCGCCTATAATAATAGTCCGGTGTCATCAAGTCAGTTCTGACTTAGGGTGACTCTTTTCAGGGTTTTCCAGGTAGAGTGTACTCAGAAGTGGTTTATCATTCCCTTCTTCTAGGGACACCCTGAGACTATGCAGCTTGACCAAGGCCACACAGGCTGGCTCTACTCACAGTGGGGGAAAATCAAACTCCCAACCTCTGGCTCCAAAGCCAGATACCTTAACCATTGAGCTATCCAGTCAGCTCACTTCACATATAGGAGTTGGCAATATGTGGCCCATCATCGTGTAGCTCGTTTTTGTGGCCTTGACTGTCATATTGGCTGCCACAACTCCATCTCTTTCACGTTCTTGCCCAAAGTGAAGGAGGTGCCCTGCCGTTTCCCCTAGGAGAGCTCTGTGATGCTGGAAGACACCATGACACCATCTGGCATTCTAGAGAGGGGTCACAAGTGCTGACAGCAGTGAGAAAAAGAGGTACAGAAAGGTAAATATTGATTTTGCAAGTCCGTGCAAGGAAAGGATGACTGAGTAAATGGCCATGGTAAAATAGTATATACTCTTTGTTAATTATTTAGCCAACATAAGGAATTTAGAGAAGTCATGAGAAATTATAAGAGGAAAGTACAAATACAGGAGGTACCCTATTGTATTGACAAGAAGACTGAGCAATTAGGCCTAGGTAAGAAGGAACTAAATGGGTCAGTTAGAATGACTGCAGGGATGCCTAGGTAAGAAGGAAGGAATTAAATGGGTCAGTTAGAATGACTGCAGGGAGGGTAGGAGAAGAGAACATATACTAGATAAGGATAGAAATAAATAAGAGTCTGGGGTCTAGGTAAAGAGAGGAGTGGGAGATGTAAATAGAGGCGGGACTTCCTGTGATCGATTTGGGTGCACCAGATAGGCTGTACACCTTGGAGAGCGGGACTTCCTGTGATGGTTTGGGTGCACCAGAGAGGCTGTACACCTTGGAGCACCTGACCAATGGGGAAACAAGGGAGGGACCATGCGTCCGGGAATAGGGGATAAATATCATGCTACTTGTATTGATGGGTGTGCCTACTCAGTTAGGACACCCGCTTTTTGCAAAAGTGCTTTGTAATAAAGGAGAGCGGCTTGTATTCATGATTGTCTGGTTACTGAATTAAGTAACAAGGGTGTGAGCATTTCTCACATGAGATTACTTATAATGCAAGATTCTGTTCATGAATATCTGGAACAGTTTGGAGTCCTACCCCTGTGGGAGAAGGAAAAGCTTTAGATGTGATTAAACATGTTGGGGACAGAGAAGGCAGCTGAAGAGTGTCAAGCTGCCAATGAATTTGGGAAAGGTAACCTGTTTTTTTAAAAAACAAATTCAGAGATATTTCACACATAATGGTGTAGAAACCTTAAAATCTTTTGTATCCGGACATCCAACTCCGGTCTAAAACTTGAGGCAGTGCAAGCTCTTCCACCCTACACTGTTTGATCAGGAGGCTGTCCGCTCCCAGTGGGGCACAGAAAAATGAGGTGAGTGGTAATGGATGAAGACATAGTACAATCACATCCCAGCCAAATATCTGAATAATGGGGTTTTCTTAGACGGGAAGTCTATGTATGCCTAACTCAGAAGTAAAGTTCAGTACATGCAAGAAAGCTTACTCCCACATACGTACATGCGTGCAGGGCGGCAACCTGAACTAACTATACCTGCTGAAGCGCAAACCACATCTGGAGACATTGGTTGTAACAACTCAAATACACAACTGAAGATGAAATGTGACTTCCTCCACATGTTTCCTTTACAAATATTGCACACTACTGTCCCAATTGTCAGAGAAAAACACAAAGTCCTCTCTTATTGTTTCTCTACTGAATGAGAATGGATGCTCCTCACATGAGTTAAATTTTGGCTGCTGCTGCCATGTTGTGTTTACCTGCTATTGGTGATAAATTCTAGGAGACTCTTCATATTAATTCACCTAGCAGAAACTGGAGCTGCCATCAAAATTTTGCCTAAAGCAAAAGTTAAAGCACATCTGTGAGATTCTCTTCAGGTGAAAACCCTCAGAGGAATTTTGAGGAAATCCAAAGAAATTTCAGTAAGAGTGTCATGATATGTTCCAGTGAGATTCAAAACATAGTTGACATTCACAGTGAGTTTTGACCTGAGGCAAAATATTGTAGGAGTTTGAGGGGAAGGCAATAGGGATTTGGAAAGATAAGGAAAATTCCTTAGGGTGATTTCATGCATTCCCAGTTTTTTTGTTTTTTAAAAAACCCAAACAAACCCAAAAAACTAAACATAAATAAACACCAACCTACATCCATATGGACCACTCTTATTGAATGGGCTTATGAGATTGCAACATGCAAACAGGATTCTTTCATTTGCATTGGTCTCCCTGGTCGTTTGCACTCTGAGACTGGCAAACTGGCCCTTCCATTGCAGTGAACAAAGCAACTGAGGTATAGAGAAGCTCCTTGTAGGCAATGGCAATCGTCAATGAGAGCAATATACTGTATTGCCTATAACATGGTGCTACTATTTCTGCTTTCTCCAGCGTAGAAGGCAACTCTGAAACCAGATTGTTACATCTTGGGCAGGAGAGCCTTGTTAATACACCTGTTACGGGTTTTTAAATTTTACTTTTCAGAGTGTTTTTCCTCATATGGTGACACACAATATGGTCAGTAATAAGTACAGTATACTAAAATTCCAGGGTGGAATTTCACAATTAAGTTACACAAGTTTTTCTACAGATTTTCCCCCTCCCATTTCCCTTGCACACCATTTCCAAAGTACTGGGAAGTTCAGAAACCTGATGGCGCGTCATAGCACTTCAGCCAATGGTGGGGCTACAAAGGAAGACAGATCAAAGCTAGGCTTTAGTCCTTCAGAAATACACAACTTCAGCATATAACATAGCATACAATGTGTCATTTACATTTCATTATTTCTGTGGGGACAGATACAATGTTACACCATCATTACACTCTGAAGCAAAAAAGAATAGCATTTGATAACTACAGTCTCCATTACGCCAGTGGTTAGTTTGGATTCGGTTATTATAGTTTAGAAAGGACATGGGGATAAACATGTGGGCTGAATGAGAATTTACTGGGAGGATTGAGAAGAGACAGACTGGCAAACCAGCTGGGACAAGAGACTAAAAGCTGCACCACGACTATGTCTACAACTCATACAATGCTTAGAAACATTGTCTGGTATACTCTTTCTGGGACTGTACCAAATGGATGATTCAGATACTTGATTACTTTCACATGGGGGGGGGAGGGAGGGCGAGAGNNNAGAGAGAGAGAGAGAGAGAGAGAGAGTTTTATTTCAGAAAGCTCACATTTGAGAGTGACCAGTATCAGTGTTTGAGATGACTGCAGGAGGGCTGCACTTACGTGCCAAATGGTCTTAAAGAATAGGGCAGGATGGTTAAAAGATAACTCTGCATAAGTCCATCTAGACACAAATCTGTCTTCTCAGTAGTATTCTACACAGTAAATGGGCTAGAGGTTTGGGAGAAAGGTGGGTTATAAGTCAAACAAATAAGCAAACAATGCAGAAAGAGCAGACACCAGTCCTACCTCCCTAGTGGGTGGATTTACTTGATAGGAGGTATTTCTAAAGACATGTTTGTTTCATCCACATAAATACCTATAAACTAGTGTTTTTAATATGTTATTGTTCATTCATATTTTCAGGAGAACACTTTAAAAAAACCCAACCATCATAGAGAGTGGCGTTCTGTAATCTCAAAAGGGAAGCTAAATGGAAAATACTGAAACACATGCAAGAAGTTGCCAGCATATTCCAAAATTTAGACAAAGCAATTAATATAATTCTAACATATTTCCTTAGCCCACTACCACCTTATTTTCTTAGTAGAAATATATGATTTTAAGGAACCATAACAATGTTAAAATAATTCTAACATGTTTCCTTAGACCACTACCACCTTATTTTCTTAGTACAAATATATGATTTTAAGGAACCATAACAACGCAAACAATTGTTCTCAGTCACAAAGGCATGTTCTGATCTAATAATACATTTTGCAGTGTAATGGCATATTTTTAAAACTTTTTGATCTTGCAGAGTAAAATGCCTAAACCTTGGGGTGTGTTATGTAAAAAAAAAGTAGAAATGAAAGAGGAAGTGAAATGCTATTGCATGCCTTCCATTACTGCTCAAATGTGTTTTGTTTTAAAAAATGTTCCGCTGTGACTTTAAATCTGCACAAGCTAGTTCCACAGAGAAATGGTTTTAACTGTCACTGAAAAGAGGGGCTAACAAGTACTGATTGTGAACCTTATCTTCTAAAATTACAAGCTCAGGGAATTTGTTTTACATCTTCCCACAGGCCATATCTGTGTGAATGGAGAATGTCCTGGTTACTGAAGGAATGCTTGAAAACCTGATCCCGGATTTCTTTCACACACCCAGGCAGCTGCTATCCCGTGTCTGCAAAGGACACACAACCACAAAGGTGGTTGTGTCGCCCAGAGTGGTCGCCCAGACCAGATGGGCGGGATATAAATCGAATGAATGAATGAATGAATGAATGAATGAATGAATGAATGAATGAATAAATCCCGTGTCTGGACACACAACCACAAAGGTGGTGTCAGTCAATCATCTGGTCTTCCAACTCAATTGATATCCATCCCAGAAGCTCCTTGCTGATTGGTCCCACCCATGTGGTTCTGTTAGCCACACATACCACCACAGCTACATGAGGTGAAACCACAGAAGCAGTTCTTGTATGGCAGGGTTCCTACATGAAGGGGCGGGACTTAACAAGGGGGAAAAAAACCTTGAAAAACTTCAGTCAATCATCTGGTCTTCCAACTCAATTGATATCCATCCCAGAAGCTCCTTGCTGATTGGTCCCACCCATGTGGTTCTGTTAGCCACACATACCACCACAGCTACATGAGGTGAAACCACAGAAGCAGTTCTTGTATGGCAGGGTTCCTACATGAAGGGGCGGGACTTAACAAGGGGGAAAAAAACCTTGAAAAACTAGATAGGGCTTTGCAAAATATGCACAGAGGTACAGAGCCTTGTGGAGCAGTGGCTAAACGGCAGTGCTGCAGTCAAGACTTAGCGTAGGTCTTGAATTTTATCTAGATGGGCTCAGGTAGCGAGCTCAAGGTTGACTAAGCCTTCCCTCCTTCTAAGGTCAGACAGACCTCTAGGGCGGGGGAGCAACGGGTTGCCTGCATAACTACACTGCAAACGGCTCTAGAGTGCTTTAAGCGTCATGGGGCAACACACTTTGCTTTTTGCTTAAGCTATATATAAGTAAAGAGTCAAGCAAAAATGTAAAGGTTTTACATTTAGTCCAGTCGTGTCTGACTCTGCAAAAATGCAAAGGTTTTACATTAGTCCAGTCATGTCTGACTCTAGGGGGCAGTGCTCATTCCCATTTCCAAGCCGTAGAGCCAGCGTTTATCCCTAGACAGTTTTAGTCTTTTTAAATTTTTATTTTAAAACAGGAGCATAGGCCAACAGATGCAGTTGTTTGGACTGCAACTGGCCATGCAGACTATAGTCTGCAAAACTAACCTTCAAAGGTTTTACATTAGTCCAGTCATGTCTGACTCTAGGGGGCAGTGCTCATTCCCATTTCCAAGCCGTAGAGCCAGCGTTTATCCCTAGACAGTTTTAGTCTTTTTAAATTTTTATTTTAAAACAGGAGCATAGGCCAACAGATGCAGTTGTTTGGACTGCAACTGGCCATGCAGACTATAGTCTGCAAAACTAACCTTTCCAAGTTCTGATCATAGTCCTATGTATGTGTATTTAGTGGGAAGCAAACACTAAACAGATTGCTGCCTTGTCATGGTGAAGGGGCTTGAGTAATTCAGAGAAGCTTTGGGCTATGCCGTGCAGGGACACCCAAGAGGGGCAGCTCATAGTGGAGAGTTCGGACTAAATGTGAACCACCTGAAGCAGGAACTGGCAAGCCACTCCAGTATCTTACCCAAGAAAACTCGATGGAACACAAGAGCCGACTTATACATGGAAATCACCAGATGGACAATATCAAAATCAGATTAATTATATTCTCTGCAGCCAAAGATGGAGAAGCTCTATACAGTCAGCAAAAACAAGACCTGGAGCTGACTGCGGCTC